AAACATATTTTTTTGATAAAAAAAATTCAAAATGTTTATCAAATATCACATGTTACATCAGCAATCAATTTATTATCTTATTCACATCTTACAAAATTAAATATTTTTTGTAAATTTATCTGTAATTCTTCGTCCAATGGCAAAAAAAGGGGGATTTATTTGCTCGTTATTTAGTATGAATCAGTAAGGCTCGTATACAGAACGTCGAGAAATAATCCCGGAGCCGTCGGTTATGTGGATCGAAAAAGTAAAAAAATAGAGGAAGCAGTACCAAGTCAAGATGATACGAACTGGAGTTCCATATCTTTTCCATTTTCATTCAAGAGTTTTTATGTGTTTCCACGCTCCTTTGAGAACTCTTTTTTATCAAAAATGTATCGAGGAAAAAAATTATAAAGAATTAGATAAAAAAAAATATATGATTTAATTAAAAATAAAAAAAAAATCTAAACGATATAATGATATTTTTAAAAAATTATCCGATTCAAAATGATAATTATTCTAATTTTTTAAAATTATTTTTCATTTTTCGTTATGGTATTTTTTTTAGTTAATGGATTATGTGGTCCATATACCTTCTCGTAAATTGATTGTCTTCTGATTTAACCCCACCCCGTTATATATATTATCATTAGAGGAGCGTTCAAATAAAAATCGGCCCCATTTGTGTAAACCGTGTAAACAAATCTCATACATCCATTTTTTTTTATCAATGGTTAAAATTAGTTTACTTTATTTTAGGAAATTAAATAAAAATACTTTTATTTTATTTCAACAGTAAGGACATAAATGGTAAACAAAATTTAATATTTGGTAATATCCTACTCAATCTTTCATGAATCTTTTTTCATGCAAAATTATTTTCTTCCAAGATTAGTTTACTTTCATGAATTTTTTTTCATGCAAAATTATTTTTTTTTCCTTTCGTTCCTGGTTTGATGCATTAATTTCTTTTAGCCTTGCAATCTTAAAGATTCTAAAGCATATTACAGTCTTCAAGATTCTGGAGCAGTTTCTTCATGTACCCGTTTCATCATTCAATTATTTCATGACGAACCAAATACATTATGCAACCGTTTCACTAGTCATGCTCAAGAACGCCATGAACCAGTTTCACTTTCATAAAACCTATTTCATGTACAGTAATTTTCTTATTTCACCACTGATTTGATGAATTCATTCCTTTAAGCCTTGCAATCTTCAAGATTCTGGAGCAGGTTACAATCTTCAAGATTCTGTAGCAGATTAAAATCATTTCCTCGTTTCATCATGCACTTAGTTCATGACGCATCAAATACAAAATGCAYYRGTTTCATTTTYCTCTTCACCAACTAAATGGATCAACTACACAATCAATGCAACAGGTTCATCATGAAAATGTTTCGGTTCACACAATTTATTTGCAACATGAACCAATTTCACGTTCATGAAACCTGTTTCATTTCTGAATTTTTTTTGTTCATCGACGATTTGATGATTTCATTATACACTTCAATTGTTTCATCAAGACCCGTTTGCTGATTTTTAAAGATTACAATATATGAAATTCAAATTTTTAATATTATAATATAATTAAATATTTAAATGTTACCATTTATACATTTTCCTTTATTACGTTTCCTTAATTAAGATTTATTAATAACTTCCATATTTAATAGAAAATATTGTAAATGACTGAAATACCCTTATTGATTAATTTTAATTAGAAAAAAATGGAATTTTTCTATTGGTCGAAATTGGTTTACACGGTTTCTTAGAAATGCACGGTTTTTCATTTGAACGTGCCCCATTATCACTATACATATTTATATTATACATAAATATATTTTGTGTATTCACAAATTATATTATGTTTATAGGGGTTCAATCAAGGAATATCACAAAAGAATTGAGAACCGTGATGATCTATCTAAGCCTTGATTTGGTTTTAATACCGTGGTTTTAATTAAAAACTATTTATAATTTTAAAAGGGGCATAATTGTCATTTGGTAACATGATTCACCATGTTATTTCACCATATGAAACACATATTATGTTATTTCAGCACATGAAACCAAACACAAATTTTATCTCTAATCTATTTCACCCCATGAAATCAAACATATTTTTTATCTGCATGTTTATTTCACCTTATGAAATTAAACACAGTTTTCGGTATCTGTTATTTCACCTTATGAAATTCAAACACAGTTTAGAACAAAGAAAAAAAAACCCCAAATCAACCGCAAACCGAAGAAGATGTTCTCCTAACCTGCTATCCGCCATGACACACCTCCTTCCAGCGAGCATTTGATCACGTCTTCCTCCACCACATCAAGGCACACGGATGCATCCCTAATTTTTCAATTCGCTCTTTCTTTCCTATTTTCGAAACCCAACTCCAATATCTTAAACACGATACATGAATTTTGATGCAACTTGAAATTTCGATAAGAATACAGTTCATAATTCATATAAACCAAAAGGAAGAAAATATGTTGGTTGTGTAAGTAAGCAGGGTCTCACTTCTTGTAATAGCTTGGCTTGGTGAGAAACGTCTTCACCAGAAGTAACGCCATCACCACTGTAGGTGAATGGATCCCTAATATTAGTCTTCAACTGGTTATCTGGGTACTTAAATGTTTAAAACTTTACATCTTAAGAACCAAAATGGAAGTTTTAAAAACATGTTACCAAAAATATGAATCAAGTTAAAGTACATTACTTTTTCATGCAATTTGCCTCTATTATAATTTTTTCCTAAAAATTAGTTGGATTATTTGAAAGTTTGTTTAAAAGTTAGTTGAGGCGTTTGAAAGTTTATTAAGATATTAAATGTACTCAACATTTTAATAAGGTAGTAAATGTTATAATATATTAGAAGTGTACGCGCAATACAGCGAGATACATCATGATTTTAATATTTCATTTTATTTTTTATCTCAGTCGATGTTATAATATGACTTTATGTGATTTTAAGAAGGCGATGATGTTTTTATTTTTGAATAAAATATATGTTTGAAGATATCATAAAAAATTGACAAAAATATATCGATATTAGTATCAAATTAACTATTTGAAATTCCTCATTTTTTGTGTAATTTTTTAATTCATTTTTTATAATTTAATTTATGTACAATAACGAAGTAATTTATATTTGGTTTAATAATATGATTTTTTTATAAAGATATTAATTATTTATTTTGTTGGAACTCAATAATTATTCTAATTATATTTTAGATTTTTTATATTTTAAAATGAGATGTTCATTCTCTATTTGATTATATTTATCCACAGTTATTTATACGAATTCAAACATCGAGTTTTAATAAGTTGTACTTATGCATAATTACTTGTAATCTTGAATTTTAAGTAATATGCATCAATATACAGTACTTTATGCATAACAAAAATATATTGAT